TTCAGATTGACAATTCGGTCGGATCTCAACTCGCCCGGACTGCTTTCTTTTCAATGCTCGTTCCGCTCACTCCCACCCCATGAAAGGGGGTAGGCTACACTCAAGGCGGGGTGATCAGTTCTTTTCACAGCGTAGGAACAAAAGTGTTAGTTGTGCGCGAGACGAACCCCTTGGGACCAGGTAGAAGGGGGTTAAAATAGGGGGGGGGGTTGAAGGAAAATGGCGCAAATTGGTTAGCAAACGAAGCAAGGGGGATTTGCTGTGCTTGGCTGAAAGGGATCAAGCAAAATTCCGAATGGCCTTGCAAAACTGCGGTAAGCTCATAGCAAGCTCACAGGCAAAGACGACATTTGGACATGCACACTGCACCCTTTTTGTGTCCTTCCACGTATTGTGCAAAACAATTCCCTGCAACATTAACTTGCTGATGAAATGATGTGCAGAAATATAGCTACTGGCGAGGTTTTCTTAAGTTAAAAATATGTAAGTCAGACAGGCCGTTTCGTAAAATCTAACCCGATTTCTGTTGACAACAATGACATTTTCTTCGCTTCTTCAATGCTGGTTGAAATTTCCCTCGATCTTCAAAGGACTATAGTCTATTTAATTTTTTGTTTGTTATTCTACGAGGAAGGCGCTGTTATGAAAGTTCACCTACCGCGCTCGACAAATTCTTGCCTGTGTTATTTTTAACCTGGCCTGAATGCAGACACTACTGAAGAAAGATCTTGCTCAAGATTGAGAGTGAACTTATCAAGAGTTTCAAAGACTTATCGAGCATATCATGAGAGCTGGGCTATCATGAAAATTAACTATATTCAATCATCATTACCCAATCCAAAGTCCCTAGCGATTTCCTATCACATCAGCCGAACAACAGCAGAGTTACAAAATAATTCGTCAGGTTTTCGTAAATCTGAAGGGACCTCGGATCGGGCCGGCCCACAAGCCATTTATAGTCATGCCAGAGCGTCTCGAGGAATCGGTAGCGGACGGGACAATCCCGAACAATAATCTTCAAAATGGTTGAAGGGGCTGACATTTTTATCGAGAGCGGCAGCTGGGTCTCAGCAGAAAACCTGTGCAGTGTTAGATAAACCGTGGACCTACCGTGTCACCCCTTCCGTGGCACTCGCGCGCCCAACCAGGAGGGGGGTACAAGACCAGAAACGGAACACCGGCGGAGGAGTGTGACAGCCTGATCAGGGGGTCCCCTCCGCACGTCAGCCGGCCCCGGACGGGCGTGCTTAGTCCCGGTTCTTGGTCCTGACACGCCGCGGAAATCGAACCCGACGGCTTGGCCTTTACTTCCCGTCCCTCAGACCGATTTTTCCCGGGGAAGGCTGGACGGCTGAGGGGGGCCCAGAGCGAGTTCCCCCATAGTTTCGCGGTGATTTGTGAAGAATGGGCCGTCTAATGCAAGTAGTCGTTCTCGCCGGTACTGGTTTATTTTACTGGCGAGACAGGTTAGAGATTGGTCCGGCGATACGCACAGGGCCTTCATATCAATCAAGCCAGAAATGTTGTTAGGGTTAAAATAACAGTCAACACCCTCTGCCATTTCAAAACCAAATTAGTTCATCTGCGAAGATTACTTTTCAGTCTGCGTACAACTAGACCTATTAGCATACAGAACACTCGAGTCTACGGTTTTTTAGGCAACCTGCATTGCAGAAATCGTTTGCAGTTTCGAATGAGGATGACTGTTTAATTAACAAGTACCGTTTTGCTGAGATGAATGACCATTTCAAAAACTCCGCTCGTCACAATCTCCTCTTTCAAGTATTTTCAGTGCCGTGCCACCTCCTCCAATATTCCCAATGTGACTCAACACCCTACGTGTAATGTTCGGACCCTCCAATTTGATCCGATCTATTTTACCCAGCCCCGGAATGTGGGGCACCAATTAAAAGCCGATGATGAGTCGCGCGCCAGACTAGCTACCATGCAACCAACCCTTGTCTCTCAGCCCCTCTGTCCCTGCATTCCCGGCCGTCTGCTGTCCCGCCATGTACGGTCAGCGTCGCCGGGCTAATCATGGTCCGATGCCGGAGATCCGACGCACCGCTGGGTCGGCCCTAATCGCGTTAATGATGCCTCGTGGGGGCCTTCAAAAATGACCAGCCGAAAGAGCGACGATTGCAGACAAGTTTCTCCTGTAGGGGTCTTATTTTGCTTTAAGGCCAATGGAACACCTGCCTGAAAGTGATTATACATGTACTGTTTTTTTCAATGGAATTCTATTTATCACTCTCCTTTGTGAAAATCTTACCTAGACTGGTATTTTGGCATCTCAAACGAGCAGTACCACGTAACTTGGCTGTCATTTAATTTCTTTGTTAGTTTAAGTTGGTCACACAAAGTGACGTCGATAATGACTGATTAATAACGGTGACAGATGAGGAGAAACCACTGGCAAACCACGATGATAAAGTTTATCTAAAGACATCTCGCGAGATTCCACGTTCGTTTTCAACGTGACCTATAGCCTCTACCACAAGCTCAACTTCAGCCTAGGTCTCTGCTCAATGTCAGAATGGAGCTACATTGGTGTATAACCCAACAGCATGGAACTATCCACTGGAAGAAACGACGTCGTCCATTAAAGACACACCCATGCTCCTTGAGCAAAGTGAGCAGTGTTCGGGGAAAAAAGGGCCATCGACGCGCACCATCTCACTCAACCTTGCAAACAAAGAGAAGGCTTTAACGCCGACGGAGCTGACAGGATTTAAAGTAGGATCACTACAGATAAACAAGCCCAAATCGATGATTGTTGTTCACTAATGATCACCATTCACAGCGTAGACTTTTCGTCATTCTTGAAAACTTCAAGCCCAAGCGACAACGAGCAAACTGGAACAGTGATATACCGATGCGAGGTCCAATGAAGAATTGTGAAAGCTTGAATAAACTAGTTATACCTAACCCGTCATCGCTGCTGCACGAACAGTACCATCTGAAGATAAACACAAGTGATCGTAAATCTAGGGTATAGGTGTCCATTCCCTTTTCTAGGTTGGTTTCTTCATATCATTCCTGTCATCCCAGATTCAAAAGGTTGAACACTTAAGTGATCAATTTTCTTGTAAGACACGTCTCCAAGCTAGCCAGCTACAACTTCGACGAGATCAAGCAAAGACATACACAATTTTCTGGAGTGACAAAAATGGATTAAATGTGATTTTCCACTAAAGTTGCAGGATTCGAGGGTTGTCACTAGTGGTACAACCATGCTGCAATGAAAACGTGGTGGAATTCACGGCATGTCGAAGACTGAGACAGAAACAAATATGACTGAAAACTGTAACATTCAGTATCATACTACCAGGAGGCTGGACTGTGTCAGATATTAACAGGCTTTTGCTGTTGGAAAAGAAAATACCCCGACCGTGGTTTTGAAAGGCTTGTTTGGACGGAGCACTCCCCCGGGAATGCTTGAAACCAGTTTGGGCTTCTCCCCGGAAAGCTGTACACTCTATTAACTCGACAAACACTGGGTACCGGGGGTTAGGTGGGTTGGTCCCCGCTGACGAACTCCAGATTGCTACGCTAACTGATTCCTGTCGACCCGAGTATCCCGGGCGTGTTACACAACCCCGTCAGTGTATTCACTGTGAACAAGTCTGTGGAGTACACTCGACTCTGAAAACTTCCCCCTTGAACACACACACACACACACACCCACACAAAATGGTCTCGAGAATTTCTTAGCGTTCTACACTGAATTAGGACCAGCAGTTCGAGGTGAGGAGGTCGCGATGTCCCATTCTTCGAGACTGCCAAATGTACCCCGAAGAAAACCCCCTAATCAGCGGGTTGCCTTTGGGGTCAGTGCTCGCTTGGAGACGGAAGCAAGGCCTGCCTTGGTATCGCTGAGCTCCAGCGGAACCCGAGAATGCTACGGGCTGGCATGCAGGGAAACAAAGATCGAGAAAGAAAGAGAATCGAATCGATAGAATAAGGTCACGTCATGGGTGACTGGGGTTACGAACTTGATAAAATAGCCCGTAGGTTTGCTGTTTAATTCACTTGGTATAAACGCGGTGCCGAGTTAGGGTCCCGAGAGTGACGCGCTGGGATCGGATACAATGTGGTCGGCTGTGCCGTATCGATATCAAAGCAGTCACGTCACATCACCAGATCGAGACCTGACAAGATGGCGGACGTAAAGATTGGTCATTTAACAGATAGTCATTTGTGAAAACAAAATACCACAAAGGTTCGATGTATGATTTTTTTCAAGCTCAAATCTTCTGAACGCGTAGACTAGATTGTCGGGAATACATCGCCCCCAGACAACGACCCCGACACAAACCATCACGTACAAGACAAGTAACTAGGCAGGTTCGTGTTAAATGACAGCGCGCCCTCTATTGCCAAAGCATTTTTCGATCATCGAACGCACACAGGGAACGCTTCACTTCACATCACTAAACCATCTGTACCGTACCAGTTGGCAATCAACAATACAAATTAAAAAGGAAATAAAATAGATTTCTCATTCAGTACGTTAGCATCAAACCAAATCATAAACTTTGTTCTGTGGTTAACGGCGTAGGCAAACTTCAATGAAAATGAACTCTTACACCAGTCCGGCCATCGACTCAGAGCTTAGATCAACTTTACCTAGACTTCAAAACCCCGAAGCTTGTCTAATACCTCCTACGCTCACACTGTATTTTCAACACCGGTTGCTGGATTTGGAGTTTAGTGCACCTACTGTTAACATGTCATTTAGAAAGACCAAGATGTTTATGTCAATGAGATAAATTGGTAACAGAGCGTGCTCAACATGGACGATTTTGGGACGGGCGTGACTTGATTAAGCTAGAGTAGTTAAGCTCAAAACTGAGGCCTAAGGTGACACCATGACACGAATCTGAAGAGAGAGAGAGAAGATATTCATGGTGTTAAAGCAGACCAGCAAGCACTATACTGGGCGGTGCACGGCTATTGCCGGCCCTGCTAATATGCAAAGTGCATGGTGAGGCTGATCCAAGCTGGCACGTTTGCTATATCGAGGCACGTCATTGGTCAATCGCGGTCTATTCACCACGCCATCCGCATACACATACCGCACGGCCAAGCACCGAGTACTATACGTGTATGCTATCACTGTGCACTGTAATACACACGCTCATGCTCATAGCTGCGATGACAGTGTTGGCGACCAACGTGACGGTCATGCTTTGCTGGAATTGCGATGACATGACCACTCTGCGATACCCTCACGCCGTGACTTCAAAAACATAAACACAGCGGTTGCTTCCTATAGTTTACGTCGAGATTCTGTCCAAGCTGACCGCCCATGCGATGTGGTCCGCCTGATATTGTGACGGGCTCAATGAACGATAGGTAAAACAGAAAAGTTGACTACAGCGACCACATCTGTCTTGATGCTGCTCTGATTGGACCTGAAACTTCCAACTCCCCGTGCAGCGTGCAGTCTTTGACAGCGTGCAAAGCTAACTTGTAGACTTGACGGGTTTCGCTTCAGCGCGAGCAAGCACCTTGCGGTGCATGCCATAACACACGAGGCTCTACTTGTGCCGACTTCGTTTGGGTTCCGAACTCGAGGTAGTTTCCTCAAACCAGCCATCAACATGTTGACAGCGCAGTCCAAACTGTTTTACCAGCTCAATCGGTATGTCAACGAGAGAGTGGCCGCTCGGAAGGCCAGCATCTCCAAAACCATTCGCGAGGTGTGCAAGATCGTTACCGATGTCCTCAAGGAAGTGGAAGTGCAAGAGCCCCGCTTCATCAGCTCCTTGGTCGAGACAGAGACAGGCAGGTTTGAGGGGTTGGAAGTCATCTCGCCCACCGAGTTTGAAGTGGTGTTGTTCCTCAATCAAATGGGAGTGTTTAACTTTGTGGACGACGGCTCAGTGCCCGGCTGTGCAGTGCTGAAGCTCAGTGACGGCCGTAAGCGCTCCATGTCCCTCTGGGTGGAGTTCATCACAGCGTCGGGCTACCTGTCGGCCAGGAAGATCCGTTCCCGGTTCCAGACCTTGGTGGCCCAGGCTGTGGACAAATGCAAGTACCGGGACATTGTCAAGATGATCCCAGACACCACCGAGGTAAAGTTGAGAATACGCGAGCGCTACGTCGTGCTCATCACTCCGGCGTTCAAGTGCAGTGGTATCTGGCCGCGCAGTGCAGCACACTGGCCATTGCCACATATCCCCTGGCCTGTGCCCGGCCTCATTGCGGAGGTGAAAACCGAGGGATTCAATCTCCTGTCCAAAGAGAGCCCGTCCCAGGCTGGCAAACAGTCCTCAGCTGAGGGAGATGCATGGGTTTTGTCGTTCACAGACGCCGAGAACAAACTGCTCCAGGGTGGCGTCAGAAGAAAATGCCTCAGCATCTTGAAAACACTGCGAGACAAGCACCTGGAGAGCACGGGACAGCCAGTCAAGAACTACCATCTTAAGACACTACTCCTATACGAGTGCGAGAAACATCCCCGTGAAATTGACTGGGATGAGATGTGCTTAGGCGACCGCATCAATGGTATTCTCTTGCAGCTCATTTCATGCCTACAGAATCGCAGATGTCCCCATTACTTTCTCCACGGACTTGACCTCTTCAGCAACAAGCCGCACCATTTGTTGGACACTGCAGCCAAACAGGCGTGGAGAATAGCCCGAGAGATTCTGACCAACCCACGGAGTCTCGAAAAACTATGACCGTAATCTCCATGCCAAACCCGCGAACAGGTGAATGGTAGTACGGAAAATGTGCACTACAAACCAAGCATCACCGCCACCCGGGAACGAATCATGACCGGGCGCAGAGAGAAACAGTGACGCGGAGCAGCGACGCGTTAGACGGGGACGCTGTGACGGCGGAGACGCGGTGAACACTGCCGAGCGCAAAGTGATCAACACCCAGGATTCAATTTCAAACAGTTGACTCGTACTCTGCAAAACTACGGTGATGAGACGTCCTAGACTCTGAAACATTCTGATGTATACTAGATTCTATGTATAATTGTGAAGCGAAAGTGTTTTTTGACGCAAATGGAGCGGAGTTTTACAGACAATGAATCAGATGTCACAAAACATTTCCTGCGGATAGATTGTCAGTGAGTACATTAAAATCAGATACAAGTTTAGTAAGTGTAGTAGTGCCAGTCTTTCGATACATGTTCGGGGGGAACGTGTGATGTCTGAGGTTTGGCAAAAACACTGATGCTCAAAATGTAAATTTGTTCAGAATTTGACACGAATGTCCCCCTTTTGAAACAAAACTGAAGTTGTCAATGTCGAAAACCGTACTTCTCCGAATGTTCATGTTCCTGCATTACGTAGTAATGATAGCTGAGCCACTTCGTGTTTTTTGCATTATCTGCGTTGCAGTCTGATGTAAGCATAAGTTATTGACTGTGAAAGTAACGAATAAGTAAGCGATGGTAGTAACTATAGTTACAAAATCAAAAAAGTGGAGCTCAATTAAAGACTTAGGACATAATTAGTCCGTCCTTGATGTAATATTCCTGAATTATTTACACTTCCAATGGACTAACACTTAACGGTCAATCTATGTCACTGTACATCCCTGCTCCAGAAATTTTCAATGATTTCGAAGTTTCAATAAAAGAAATCTTAGTTAAATTTAATGATCACCGTGAAACTGCGTCATTCAGAAAAAAAACAGTCAAAAGTTCACGATAGTTTTGTTCGAAGTTGGAAGGCTGACCGTCTGGTACTGATTCAGTATCGGCGATGATGAGATTAAACCTGAGCCTACTGGTAAGACGAAAAGGAAAACTTGATTACTCTATCAGAGACAACAGATCATTCCGAACCTGAATCGACCAAAGTATCGCCTAGACCATTAATACTGTGATGCGAGGGCTGCCTTGTTCAGCCCCTCCACTGAATCACAGGAAGTCGCGACTAGGATGTAGCAAAAATCGGATAACTAGTAGTAAGTGATCGCGGTGGAATATCTGGCAGTACTTGAGTGTGTAGTACTACACGCGTTCAGCCTTCCGTGGCCTTGACCTTGCAAAAAAGGAACAGCACATGCACCCAAACGCGTAAACATTGAACAGGTTTAAGCCAATGATAATGTTCCTCTGTTACGTTAGTTTTAGTGAAAATAACCCGTGTTTCAGAATGTCTGCCACACATCAGCAAAAGGCATGTACACTTGCCAAACCCCCAATCAGCATTTTCGCGTCAATCTAATCAAAACAGCGCTAAAAAGGCTAAGTTTGTTTTGTATTTTAAAACAACTTACATAAGTGATAATTTTGGGGAAAATGCAACGTACTGGGCTTGTTCTACAACCGCTTGTTAGAAAGTAAGACATTCGTCATTATAAAGCAACACAATTAACGACCAGTTTCGATTAGTGACATGTAATACTCGGTAAAAGTGTTGCATTAAATATGCGCAAGTATTAGGGTAGCAAGTAGGGTGTTGATAATGTTACATGCAATGTAGCTGAACCATGACACTGACAAAGATGTCGTGTCGGCTGCCTAAACAGTTGCCGTAGCATGTCATGTCATACACGCCCACATGCTGTCACTACACCGACATTCAGCCCAGTTCACCGGCCAAACTAGAAAAACGGTTGTAACCTTAACCAGAACCACTCGGGAATTTGATACCAATACAACTTAATGGAATGTTGGCGATGGGCCTATACCTCTGCTGTAGGAATTAATATGAGAAGCAATGCATTGCTACCCTTCTGCTTCCTAATTTTGGTAGGAAAACGAACTGTGTTGACTTTTACGTTCAGTCCTGCTCTTAATGGATTTGGAGAATAATTTCTGAACAGAATGCCGTACAAAATCAAATCTAAAGATAATCGAATGCCAACTACGATGTCCTTGTAACACTATTTGTAAGTAGTCCCAAAAGTGTCAACCCCCAATTGTTGTTGTTTTTCACCCTTTTTTTAAAAATTGTGTCAGAAGACTTCCTCACTAATGTTTCTTAAATACCAAGTCTTAAAAAGTTTGATGCCATAATCCTCGTTCGTATCAGGGCTTTAATAATGCTTGTCTTTGGGCAGCGTATGTTGACATAATTTGCAGATGACTGTATCGGAACAAATGAAGTTTATACACGGAGTTTGGCCATTTCCGCAATGGAGAGCCAAAATCTGGATAAGACGGGATAATTTCAGCTCCGAATTTTCGAATACGGCCGCCATGCTCGAAATGTTTCCACAAAGAATGGGAAAATCGCATGCACAGCATGAACACCACTGAAACGATCAACTTCAAAACATGTACATTTAATACTCTCCCCCCAAAGGAAACCAGTACATGTAAAAGTTTTGCTTTTCTTGTCTTCACATTTAAGTACTTCATTCCAACTGAGAACAGCTGGTCAAAAGTTAGAGTGGATTGGCAGAAACGCTTCCCGACAACGTACATGCCCATATTGGCTAACTGTATGATTCTTGTTGGCATTTTAAAAACAAGGTCTGACTTTAATTCATCCGAGTCCATAACATGATCCGCGTGTGGTAAAAGATATGCTATCGCAGTGTGCATGGTAATGGAAAGGGAGCGTTATCGCCAAAACTCAGACTCGAAATGGTCACTATAAAGGATTCAAACACGACGGGTTAAGAATCAGTTTCAGAACAAATTTGTAGGTTTTGTCATATTCAAGATCAGATTGTGCAAAGGTTCGAGTTTTAACACGCTTTCTGTTAGCTTGTGTGGATCTGGAAATCGAATTACATTTGTAATAGTATTTAGCTGAGGTCTTGGTAATTTATTTGCAGTCCGCGTTCGCATGGTTCGTGTGTATAAACGTAATGGTTTTAAACGCATCTTGATGGACGTCTTGCAACTTTGGACATTGTTTTTTCAATTTGTTAACCATCAGCATTTCGTGAACGTTGCTTTATGCGGATCTACTACTAAAAGGGATGCATTTGAGAAATGTGCTCAACGTCTACGCATATCTGCAGTAGGCAGTGCAGTACTTTATAATACTGCACACATTTTGGGGTGATATTTTTTAAGGAACCACTCTGTAGCTAACGAAAGCAAATTGATGTATTGGAGTATGGATGCCATGGTGACTAGGATATAAATAGCAGCTTAACACAATATTATTGTATGTTGAAGATTTGTGAAGATGATTTTGATGTTTTCAGAGAAGCCGAGAGGGCGTTCTGAAATAAAACTCAGCAACAGTGTAAGAACAAAATGGCGACGATATCATGTTTTTTTCTGCTTTGGTTTTGTGGTGTAGTACTGTTGTAAAACGTTACCTTTTCGTATAATTACAACATAAAAGTGTCTTCCATAAACTACTAAGTTTAAAATGTTTAAGAACAAAGCTAGCACAATTTGCCCAGACAATTTGTTAATGCTTTAAGAAGTTAGTGGAAGAACATCCAGAGTTATATGAATCAAGGCTATTGTGTTGCAAAAACTTTTTAAAACATATAATCTTTGAATGCTAAGTTTACTGGCTCTGATGAAGCGACGATCGTTCTACATGCACGCGTATATAGAGTTACTTTCTGATTGCAAAAGCCAATATCATTATGTACACATCTTTCTAGGTCTGCTACTAGATCCGAATTCATCGCACAACAGTGCGTTATGTGTATGAAAGTGGAGAAATAACTAACAATTTAACAAACATGAAATAAAATTGAGTCCAGCGTGTAATCTGAGAATACCAGCAATGAAAATCGCCTCGGTCAGTTGTGCACAACTTAGGATGGTCGAACTATCAGAGTTCGATTTTGCCACGTCATCGTTATAAACCACGTGAGCAGTGGACAATTATTTGTCCAGATGCCCCAACAAAGCACGAAGAAAAAAAAGGGACAGGAAAATGTCCCATTCTGCTCTGGATTAATGGGCAACAACATTTCATGAGCGGGGATGTGAGTGGCAATATACTGTAAAGCTAAAACAGCTAGCAAAACGCTGAAATTTAAAAGATCCCATAATACATGTACTGTACAAAGTAGTTGTACAAAAAAGCTGAAATTATGAGTAAAAAAACTAAGCACAAAAAGCAGAAATCATCTGAAATGCTGAATTCTCACACTCCTGCATGAGGTATTTGGTCTTGTTTTTTTTTTACTTTTTACCCACTTTTTGCAGACAGAGATACATGTTTGAATACGACGGTGGCGGTCGAGCAACTGGCACGCACAGCACGCAACAGCGCGTGGTTCATGCTATCAATGACAGGAGCCCGTTTCTTGTCCGTCTGGTTCCACTGTTTGTGTTAAGCGGGCGAGGCCGTAAAGTCACCGCCACAACAAGGGCTTTTTTCCCAGATGGGTTACGCCAACTTAATCGACACTAGTGCCATGGTGTCGCTTAAGTTAGTGATCCGGGTTAGGCTTCACTTAGGGTGTTTATGAGGACAAACTTGTACATCTTCCCTCAATGAAACACAGATAAACAGTTAAATTTTCGTAATTTACCGTCATGTCTTGTATTTCCGAATTGACACAGGATTCTTCAGCGTTCAACTTTTTGAATAGTTGTGGCTGGAGTTACAGATAGAGCCTGAGGAAGTCACGCTTGCAACTAGTTCAGCCGTTCTATGGGATAATTAAACTGTTCTATGATAAGTCGCGAGCGACAAATGAAAACATCAACGTTATACTCGTTAGGATTACTGGTGGGAAACCACAGCACCAGCTGTATTATTTTAATATTTGCACAATTAAAATTGCAGTGGCATCCCGCTACTTCTTTTCACAAGTTACCTAATGTGCACTTAGGTTGAAATCGAAATAAAAGATTTGAGTTTTCCAAGCCCAGACAGAAACAATACCTTCGACAAGTTACATGTTCTCAAAATGTCTGTAGGCCTACAGAGACTGGCAAACGTTTCAGTTGTATGTTACGGGAGCAAGGTACATGCACATGTACAAGTACGACACACGGCCAACGAGCAGCAGTTGGCCGTTCCGCCCAGCACGAGTTGAAAGCTATACCCGCCTCAGCTGTAATGGCATCTGGACCTCAACCTTTCTGTTCTCGTTGTTTACATGATTTCATCGATTCAACCTTGCCATTCACATCTTACCTGGCACTAATAAACTAAGGCCGTTGCAAATATACGTTAATGGGGCTAATGAGGGGATTCACGTGGTAAACAAACCGATTGATGCATAGGCCTATTGATATGCAACATGATACTTACAGTACATCCACTATGCTTAAAAGAATTATGACAAGCTACCGGTAATCTAGGAGAACTTTAGAACATTACTTTGGACTATATTGATCTTTTCTGATGATTAAAACATTTGATATTTCGGGAAACTGAATTTAAAAAGACTATGCAGTGGAAATATGGTATAAAACCCACGTTAATGCGGCATTTCAACTGAATTGATTCAAAACGCATTTTGGTTTTGATAGGATGTAATTCCTATGTCTTTCTCCCATGTGTTGTTCATTAATATTCATCAATGAAGAAGTCGAGTACGCGCGTACCACTTAAATAGAAAAATATTTAAGTCAGCACTAATTATAATAATTATTCATAATATGCAACGCAATTACACCAGCAGTTTCTTAAAGCTTTGGTGAAACCTAATTACCCCTTCCAAAAAGAGGATGAAATGAAATATGGGCCCTGAAATTGACGGCATATTTTTTCAAACAACTGAGAAAATTTTAATTATCTTTAGAGTGCCCTGCCAGAGTTGGGGATAATTTACAGCGTTGGTATTTCGACAATTTGTTTTTTATTACGTGTGCCCAAGTTGCGAGCACAAACATTTCAACGCGCTAGGCAGATGATCGCAGCCATTCATCATTTCTTAAATCATTTGTTTCCTGGGTAACCATAAAACCCAGGAGATTTGGGACATGTTGTTCTCCACTATCAGACAGCATCCTGTCTTACATAATGACATCTGTATGGTTTGGGGGACATTTTTGTTTTGCTTTGTTTGGTTCTGTTATTTTTTTTTCAGCTTTTTGATTGGTTTGTTTGTACGTATAAAAAGAATATGGACGGGGTTTGCCGATGACGGAGCAAGGACACGTATGAAACTGGTGCAATGCAAAAGGCTGACAAAATCCTTCTGCTGTTGTAACAAAAGTAACTATAACACTGAAATATGACCCCGACCCATAAAATAACTCCAGTGATAGAAGTCGGGAAACACGACGGTATCCTCGAAATATGCAATTCACATAACCCTATATAGCTAGAACAATACTGTCCTCAATGGAGACGCGGGGAAGGAGCAGTCGCGGGCTTTACATAGGAAATTGCTCAAGTTTCTCTTGCAGAGTACGCGGTCCAGCTATACCTTGGCTCGTGATTCATCAGATGGACTGTGGATAGCAACCGGCAGGAGAATTGATTCTAAATGATTGGGAACATGAATACTGCATGGCAGGGAACACGGTAGCGGGTTATCGGAACAAGATCGCGGCTAATGCAGGCCACACTTTGATGGCCGGGCATTTCCCTTGTAACTGACGGCTGGAAAAATGAAACAAGGTGCAATGCCAGTAACGGGAGAGTTTCATTCCAGTCAAGAAGTTGAAAAGTGTTCCAAGAGACTCTAAGATTCCAGACATGAGATGAACAACGGTTCATCCCCTGAACTTTTCAATATGAAGCATGCATCACAGAACAAAGAGATACGGATAGTATATATGCAATCGTTTGCTTTTTTCTCATTAAAATGGCCAAAGTTGCTCAAAAATTGATTAACTTTTGTGATAAATTTTGCTAAACCATATTCATCGGCGTCCCATCAACAACTTTTCCTTAGTTTTCCGTTCTCTGAAATGCGCGAAAAAGCAGCCTGGTGATATTTGTTGACATTTATTCATGGAATAATATTAAATTTCCATTCTTTTTCGGCGAACGGCGTGTGGGAATTTACTTTCTGGAAATAAGTAAACTAAAATACAAGCAATGTGTGTATAGGCCTACGCTATAAAATAAACGGCAACTCGGAACAGACCATTAATGTGGGTACAGCCTTATACGGGCTGTATTAAAAACATATTCGTTTACGCATTCTAGATGCGGCATTGTCGGAGAAAATACAAACATACAAAGGCGACGAATTCTTTATTCCTTTGAATGGGAAACTGAAGATTGCCACTTTTGATAGCCTCGCAACATGGGCCACCACCGAGACTCCCCCCCCCCGAAAAAAAGACTAACGGAAAAACCAGCAAAGATATAATCTGTATTTCCATTCAAGGCTGCAGGTAAATCGAGCGAACAGTCAGACTTCTGAGGCCAAAGAAACCGACTATGGAAAACGGTCTAATCCTGATCAACTTTGGTCGAAGCATTATTCTCTTAAGAAAACCCGACTGGGAATTAGATTTTGGGTGGCAAACTTTGTTCATATCGCAACAACTCCACACGTGCATTCATAGCCAGTAACTACATGTACATTTATATGGCCCAGTTAAGACCTCGCTCGAACGACAACATATCTGTTGAATATTGAATTTCCTATATATACCACGACAGCCTCACCGAAACCCGACATATCGGAGTAGAAAGGTTAAAAATGGATAGTTTTCCGAAAATAAATCGAATTCATTGTTATTCAAAATAACAATCGAATGGGTAGCTGTCGAGAGAAAACGCGTAAATAACTGCACAAGTCCGTGTTCACAGCACAAAAAAGTCCCAGTAAATTTCACACGAAATACACAACAGCTAAATTACTGGTTGCTTAGAGATGTCAACATCTCTAACACTTTGCGGCAACTTCGCTTGATTGGATGTTTGCGAGAACTATCTGCAGGTTCCCTCAACCACCATAGCTGCCAAAACTGAAGCATGTCGAGATCCATTTTCACAACTCAGGACAATCATGTTTTGTTCGATTCCAATCTTGTTCAGGGACACCAAAGCCAGAGTTGACCGACAGGACACGACCTGAAAACTGACAAAAACTACGAGAGAAGTCATCAACAACTCTCACCCTCCAAAAATCACGAATCGAGTCGCATCTGCGTTTGACACGTGTTACAAAATCCGGGCAACAAAAAGACAACACGGAGCAAATGTATTGAAATATAGACAGAAAAAAAGGGGTAACCTTGGAGTTAAAAATGAACACCATTCACAGGATACTGAACTCGGTACACAAAAGAATATGGCATTGGTTTCTTAAGAGGAAGAACAAAAGTGATAGGGACTCGAGTGAATGCTAGCTAGCTGGCTGGGCAAAACTGTTAGAGGTTTATGATAGGCATACCGCGGTCGCATGGAGTGTGTCATTGTGCATATGAGGTGTGCGCGCTGGTGCGTGTCCCCTACACAGGCAACTGAGGCTGGCGTCAGTAGCTCTTGGGAACACTGTGACAAATCATTTAAAAAGTATCCATAACCTGCCTAACCTGCCAAGTACACGAATTTCTTCTTTTTATACCGGGGGATAGGAATATCATTTTTGCAGCCTGCTATTTGCATGCAGTCTGACTGCTTACTGGTTACTTCTATTGTGGGGACTGACGCAAAAAGGAAGAAAAATTGGGCTCCGGGGCCGCAGCCGGCAATGATTGATGCACGCACGCTCATAATGAAATATTTAATTGAAATTTCAGGTGGGTGTATTGTATTCACTAGTCCGATTCTGACTGCATTCAAAAATGGACTGTCTGTTGTGATATTCTGGGTCAGCGATTGATATCAACAAGTCGGCTCACAACTCTGTGACGAGAAAGTCGACAGTAAAGTTTCCCGGCAGTAAACGAGTTATGTTGACCTTACAAAAATCATTTCCAAGTTGAAATGAAAAAAATAAAAAAAACACATAAAATAGCAACTAGACAAACAAATGAGACACCTTCGCCACCAGCAAGCACAGGCAACAAAATAAAAAGGTGAGTTCCGAGACTGTAATTATTGTGGTGGTACGGATGCACCTGGGATATTTTGGAGAAAATCTTACAATTTTGGTTGATTCTTTATGCAGGACCACCTTGACTGAAAACTGTACACAGGAAACTGTCGAGAAACAGTCCACCAGCAGTTGAGGAATAGACTATGTGAATCCAAACACAACATGCTGAAAACGCATTGCAATGCAGAACATTCACGCACCCCAGCAAAAATACCTCAAACTGAAAGCAGTGTGCTACTGACAAAAGTATCAACGACACAGTATTAGACACAGGCCTACATTCGAATATGCGGAGGCCTTGAAATATGCTTTGATCCAAATTGTAACGCAGGCCTTGCTGTGGACGTGATGCATTCAGTATTAGGTCCGACTGATGCACAGGCACGTTTCTAGAAAAGGGGATTAACAATTACCCTGGTACTACGTCGAAAAGGATGCACGTAAGAAAAAAATTCTCATTTTTGACGCGACTCCAAAATGTTGCAACAATCGTCGCCATGATAGAAATGAAATTCCATTTACTGCAGAAAACCATGCTTTCAGAAATCCAAAACCCTCCTTGCACTCAGCGTTTCATGTAGGTCTGATAAAACGAAAAGGATAAAGAAAAAAAGACAGTTGAAATGTTTTTTAACTACAGTTCTTGATGAAAAAATTATCATTTATGCTATTGGAAACTTGCGAGACAGAACTTCCAAGATTGCGAATTGGATAGCTTAAATCTCGCCTTAAACATGAAATTGCTGCCCCATAATGCCCATGATAATTGGTGAAGTACCAGGTTTCGCTAGGTTAGACCACGGAGGAATATTCCTTCATGATTTCATGAGAGGAGCGCGCACGTG